AGTTCGATTAATCGGTTAATCGGATAAACAATAAAATAAATTTTTAAAAATGGCTCCAATGATGGGACTACTAGTTTGTATTGAGGTTGTAGTCCATCACAGGAGAAAGCTTGGAGCGGTGGAAGTAAAAAAGAAAAAAAATAGTGTGGTGTGCAATATAGTGAAATGGAAAGTGTAAAATTATACAGCAATGAATGCAGAATGGCATCGGAATACTTGTACTGCACAACTGATATCGAGAGTGGCCTAATTGGCCTTTTATATGTTTTTTAATTGTAATAACAAAATATGAATCTTTTATGGAAAATGTGAATATGTACAGTTTTTAGGCACCATTTCTTGTTCAGTTTTTTTCATTATATTCTTAAAAATGACACCTGGCACCTAACTTTTGAGGCTTTCTCTGTAGCTGTTGTGAAAAAATTGGACAGACTGGCTCCTGAATTCCATATTAATTTGTCCACCCCTGGCATAATAGAGAGCTTGGGGTTTTGGGGCTCCTGGGGTGCTTCTTTTAGGCAAAGTTTTAAGCTGCCTACTACAGGAATGGAAGTTTCTGCTCACACCGTATCAGACTAGTAGAGCTGTTCTTTTGATATTTATAAATACAATATCAGTATTATGAAAGATAGAGACTTTGGACATGTTTATTTGTTGAACTCTGTATTTTCCAGAGGAACTTGTCTTCAATGTTTGTTTTATCTCTGTGGATATTGCTATCAATACACACCCATAATGTCAAATATTTACAAACTTGGATTGGATAGATAGGTATGATCTCAGCAATTATAGAGGTATGATCTCAGCAATTATAGAGGAGGAGACAAATAATCTATCAATAGGGATCTATCAATAGGGATTCAGAGTATTTGCATCAAGGTTCAGCAACTTTACCAAATTCATTTTAAGGAAATCCCATACCCTTTGTTACAAAAATGCTAAAAAAAAAAAACACACTCATTAGTATCCACTGTAAGGAGTCTGTTTTACTTGTCTAACAAGTCATACTCCATCAGAGGTTAGACATATTATAAGTATGAGCTACAAGAACCATTTTTAATCTCAGATTATCAGGCCAACTCTTGCCACAACTTTTTCTTAGTTTACAATGGAGTAGGGAAAGGTTTTTTTTTTTTTACCTCAAACAGGTTTCTATTGTTGTGTGTCCCCACTGGAGAGATTGACCTTGACTCCTGTCCTGGTGACATGGTGTCATAAGGACAGGAAGTGATGGGATATCTCTCTGATGGAGACAGAAATGGCAACAAAAACACATTTATTTAGTAGTGTTAAATCAGTCCCTAAATCTGTCAGGGGTCAGAGGTTAAAGAGCTGCCAATTTGCTTATGATCAGATCTCCCAGAAACAATAGAGTAGTTGGGCATGCAGGAAAGATATGATCGCCCTCAGGTGTGTAAAATTTCTAATTCAACAATTGCTTCAGGCAACTGCTTTTGACTAGAACAATGGAAGTGATGGGGGAGGCGCACTGCAGACAACTCCTGGACCACCTCACCAAGATGAAAACAATTATTTTTGATCCAAGCTAGTAGAGCAGTGTTCACCAACCCCCGATCCGCGGATCAAATGGTACCGGGCCGCACAGTCTCAGGAGTCACAGGAGACGTGTGTGTGTCACACGCCCCGCCCCGCCCCCTGCAGTGAGTGCACACAGTCTGAGCGGGGGAAGCGGGGGAAGTGGGGGTGTCTTACATCATGTCATTAGACGTGGATTATAATGGGGAATATTACACTGTAATGTTCCCTATTATAATCCATTTCTCTGTTGTGTACTGCTATTTTATGTAATTAGACAAATGGATTATAATGGGGAATATTACACTGTAATGTTCCCTATTATAATCTATTTCTCTGTTGTGTACTGCTATTTTATGTAATTAGAAAAGTGGATTATAATGGGGAATATTACACTGTAATGTTCCCTATTATAATCTATTTCTCTGATTAAATGATTACAGGTAGGCATGTGATCTATCAAAGTTTGAGACTACGTTAGAATGTGTGACCAGTGACGTGGTCACACATTTTAACGTAATCTCGCCCAGTTTTTCAGTGGTGGAATAGTTGAAGAATTCTAACGCTTTCATTTTTTGGTGTAACTGTATTTTATTTTGAAGGCATGTTTAAATACAATTAAATTCAAATGATTAAATCAAAACAATCTAAAATATAAACAATCAACGTCCCCCCCTCAGCGGGCCACGGTAAAATTATCAAACGTTGACCGGTCCGCGGCGATAAAAAGGTTGGGGAGCACTGCAGTAGAGTACTTATGGGGGACAAAGTAACTATCGGGGAGGGATTTTCCTAATGACTGCTATGCTTTTCACCTGAGATAAGCTAGCACCCGCTTCCTAGGCAGGGCCAGTGCCTGGATTCTAAGCAAGGTGCCGACCCCGACCCCCTGTAAAAACAGGGCATTTTGACAGGTACTTGTACTTGTCAAAATGCCCCGATGTTTGCGCTGTTTTTTGTTTTTTTTTTCACTTACCTTCGAGTGAAAAAAAACAAAAAACAGCGCAAACATCGGGGTATTTTGACAAGTACAGGTACTTGTCAAAATGCCCTGTTTTTTCCGCCCTCACCCTGCAGCGCCCTCAGACGGCCGCCTGACTTGCGGTAGCGCCGGGCCTGTTCCTAGGCCATAACATGCACAATGACGATCAATTCCGAAATGCACATTTTTATTTGTCGGAAATGCTATTCTGAGGATGACATCCAAGAATTAGGGTATATTCTGCCTTCCTCATGGGTGTCTCGAAATTTTCACACAGCGTCATGCACGAACCATGCTAATCCAAGGGGGATGGGATCCCCTCAGAAAAGAATGAAAGTTCACCTCCGTCCAAGCCCACTCGGCCTTCCACCTTCCCTCCCAGCTCCTGATGTAATTAGAGCTGTAATGTAAAGGGGGGGCTTGCAATTTGAAAGGGGGGCTCCTAGTTTGAAAGGAGGGCTCCAGATGTGAAGGTGGTTCCTAATGTAATGGTGAGCTTCTGATATGAAGAGGAGCTCCTGATGGAAAAGAGGAATCTGATGTTAAAGGGGTTGTCTGATGTGAAAGGGACCTCCTGATTTAAAAGGGGTAATCTAACGTGAACCCCACTTTTTTGTGTTTTTGTGTGTCCCCCCCTTAAAATCCATATCTATTTATCACGGATATTGGTCTGGTATAGATTTTAAAGGGGTCACACATTTTAACATACAGTTTAGTATGGGGCACCTCGAGATTTTGCATGCTTTTAAAGAGTGCCAAAACTGAAAAAAGTTTGGCTGCTGGAAGCGAAAAGAGTTAGTGCGTATTTGACTTGGAACTCAGAACTGAGGACTCCCACCATGTGACAGTGCTGGGTGTCTGAATGGCCAATCACCAAGACCCAGCGCTGTCACACAGAAGCAAAAGGCAGAGAGTCCCATGCCTCCCCATACACCGCACTACTAGGGTTTTCTCTTTTCCCAAACTGATTGGCAGGGGAGTGAAAGGAAGGCAAGTATGCTCTACTGCAGACGGTTGAAGAGCAACCTGTGGCTTTGCGTTCCATGGGTTCCCTTTAAGTGAATTAAAGATATATCCAAACTCTGACAGGGTTATTCAGAAAAGAGTGAAGAGTTTGGAGAAAGCAGGAGAAGTGAACAATCTAGGACAACATAGCCGATTTGGAGAAATTCTCCAATTCAGCTCATGTTCCAGGTCAGCTATGTTGTCCTACATTGTTCACTTCTCCCTTCCCCAAACTCTTCACCCTTTGGTGAATAACCCTGTGAGTATTTCAGATTTTGAAGAGCGTGAATTATAACAATTATAAGTGAACATATTTCTAATAAACATTAATCTCCTGAACATTAAATACATGACACTGCATGTGCTCATCAGTCAAGATGAAACAAGCCAAGCATTTCCAGTGTGGACGCATCCCGAGTCCTCCTCTATTAATAAACTGCAACCACTAACACCATGCAAACTATTCCACTGTACTACATCATCACTACTTCTCACCAGCTGTCAACTTCAAGGCAAATCTCAGCCAACAATTGATATCTATTACATCCGAAATAACTGATTTACACATTTAAGAAGTAGCACTTTACAAAAATGAGGCCATAATGTTCTCGATGGTGTCAGACATTTCTAATCACAGGAGGTTTGTACATATGACATTATTGGTAATTGGTAAAATCCACAGAGATAAAACATAAACATTGTAGACAAGTACAGCAGAAAAATTAAGAGTTATATAAACAAGTCCAAAGTCTCTATCATTCATAATACTAACTATTTATAAATATCAAAACAACATCTCTACTAGTCTGATACAATGTGAACGAGAACTTCCATCCCGTACCAAAAAGCACCCCAAAAAGTTTTGCATTATACCAGGCGTGGGTGAATTAATATGGAATTGAGGAGCCAGTCCAATCCAGGAGCCAGCTCCATTGAAGACAACTAGAGAGAAATATAATTCAAATTTATAATGAGAATAACTGCAAATGAAAGACCAACAGGAGATAAAAGCCAGCGTGGCCAACCTCGTCCGTCCGGCCGCAGAGAACTCGTCATACAATTGGCTTCTCACTGAGCAGGCCCCAACTAATACCACCGACCCACAAATCACATCTGCTGATTCCACTGATGACGGCACACATTGAAGTGACAAAAATAACCTTTATATAACACGCCAACTCCACGCCATCGTCAGGAACTATCTGCACAGGACAGGAAGAGGAACATCCAACACATACCATTAACTCCATACATTCCTCCTCATCATCATCATCATCATCATCATCATCATCACATCCTAATAAGAACTTAGACATCTGCCCACAATGTTACTAGGCAAAAATAACATGTATATGTA